ATCAGAAAAAATGTACCAACCGAACAGTATAAATCAGAAGAAAAGTTGACGCTGAAAGCATTCATTTTCGTTCTGTCACTTTCAGATATGAAACGTGTAAAAGTTTACTTTTTCGATTACTTCTTTTAGTAAGGACCTTTTACATTTTAAGTATAAATATCTCAGATTCCATTCGTAAAATAGCGGTAATCACAAAATTTATTATTTGATAGTCACTGAGTCATGCTTATACAATTCAACTGGACACTAAAGTGCTCACGTAATCATCACTCATCGGAGCAAATTATAGCTAGTGTGATCTGATGTTTAGGGTCGTATTAGTTGAATTCAGACAGCATTTTTCCTTCTTCAACAAGCAACTACAGGTAGAATTTGATGATTGATCGACAATTAAATGCTTTACCGTCAGACAGTAAGTTATATTAAGACAGCGTGTTCAACTTTCACCTTAAAAATGCTCGTTTTCCTATTTTTGAAAATGTAAATTGATCGTTAAGCCAAACTGTCATCTTTGGGAGCGCATACTTATCCCTATTATTAAACTCTCGTTCTCTTAAACCCCTTAAAAACCAGCCCCAACAGATAATACTGTTAGATATAGGTTGAGACTAATTATATACCTTTGGCGATGCATTTCATGAGGTTTTATCGTCAAGTCTCGAATTGGTAGCCCTAAGAAAGAAGCTACATACTCGGGTACGTGTGATATTTTTGGTACATTTTTATGGTGAGGGGATCGTCAGTAAAATTCGAAATAAGGCCTATTTTGTTCAGCTAGTGAATTCAAGAGCATTTACAAAGGATAGAAAAAGCCACATCTCGTATCTAGGATTTTCCCACCGTTTTATTCTATGACATACATGGGACTTTTTTAACCTGCCCTAATCTATATATTGGCGTTCATTCTATTCTCATGTGTTATCAGATATTGTATTGATAGTCTTGATAGTCTTGTTCTCTGGCCATTCTTATTTATGTCGCTTCTTCTTCCGTCATTCTTCTGTTTGTCATAATAACCAAGATATCCCCAAAAAGATGAATCCAGAAACGCCCGAAATTTATACATATCTACACTTAACAAGGACGATTATAAGTTTAGATAACAACGTCAAAACTTTTCATGATACGTACACAGCTACACGATCGATGCAAATGAGTATTCTGCATATAGAAACTATATAGAGTACACAAGTATGAACCGATAAGAATACAATCTTTTTGCAGATAAATTGAAAATATAGTCTCGTTTTATTTTCAATACTTCTGTCTAACTTATGTTTTGATTCCCGGAAGTTATTTATCAATACTACTAGATCATCTTGTTGATATCAATGGGAAGTCGTCCTAGCGTAGCAAAATCAAATATTTCAATTCAACTTAATGAACACGGCAAGAGAACGTATCAAACGGGAGACTCGATATCTGGTATGATCGAATTTTTCAACAATGCTTCTACCGAATTACGATTTAGTAGGATCAAGGGTATTTTCGTTGGTGATTGTGTTCATTTCACTTCTCAGTCGACTAGTTACGGGACACTAATACAGACACACAGGGAACCATTTTTCGTCGTACCAATCATTTCAGATTCACTCTGTGAGCCGGGCCAACATGCACTTGCGCCTGGCAGGCACGATTGGCCGTTTAGTTTCTCTCTTCCGCATTACCTTCCACCTTCAGTGGCACAAGATCGTCCCAACTCTCAATTTATTCAATACTCCATTTATTTTGGAATGCTCCGATCAGAAAGAAGCAGAAAGAGTATTCAGAAAACCTTAATCATTCCTATTCAACGTTCCTTCGAGACTTTGAATGGGATTCAAGTTGAAGATCAAAAAGAAAATCGAAACGGTGTTCGTCTACGTTGTTATCTCAGAAATAATCTTGTTGCTGCTGGAACTAAGTTGACACTTGAATTCGAAGTCAACAATGCAGACCAAGGCACGATACGTAGAATATCGGGTATATTGATTCAAAATCGACAATTTTCTTCTGCTAGGAAGGAACAGTTTATCATGGCATCACAGACGATCAAGGATTCCCAAAGACTTAAAGGCAATCACGTGAACGACAGAATGATATTTTCTTTGCCAGATACTCTTCCAGCTACATACTCATATCATCCTTCCTCCTGGCCTACTGGATACCAAATCCGCATAGATTACCAGGTTCAAATTACACTTCACCTTTCTGGATTTTATACGAATATTCAAATTGAACTTCCCGTAATCATCACAACTGCACTTGAGAAAACGACTAATGCTCCACTTAGCTGCGAGTCTATTGTGATAACTGCAGAATGAAGCTTAACTGCAGCATCGAATAAGATTATATAGAGTGTGGATGAAGAGCAATGGATCACCTGAACTTGTTTACATTCATGTTCAAACTAATACCTACACCTGCATCCACACCGTGTCTGGTAATTAAGTTGTTATTTTCAACACATTTTATTCAAGATTCATTCTTTTAAACAGTTGAGTTTCAACGATCTGTTTTTTCTTTTTTCATTCTTATTATGAATACCTCTTCAACTAAATACTAATCACAACTAATAAAGAAAAAAACTGCTGCTGAAGCTTATTATTCTGGATGTTTCGTACAATATATTCACTATGTCATGATAGAGTCGTGTATAACTTAAGAGATAGTTCACTACTAGACTATTCTGGCTTGGGTGTGGGTTTGGGGTGTATGGGTGTGGTGTGGGGATGGGCGTGGGTGCGGGTCGGGTGGGGTGGGTGTTTTTGCTCTGTTTAATCCCACCACCTACACCCGCATCCACACCCTTCCTTCATTTCGATCATTGACTTTGACGGACATTGACAAGAGTAAGTTCCATAGATTGAAATCGATGTTACTATTGTTACCTAAAGTATGTTCGATACATTTAATTGATCCAGATGGTGGGTGTGGGTGCAGGTTATTTTTGACGAAGAGAAGAACACCCACACCCACCTGTTATGACCTTTATCTGCTTCAGATGCAGTCATAAGGGTTTTCCCTCTTTCTTTTATAAGATTATACATATAAACTTGTGCTCTGCTTCTTTTCTCTTTTGTTAGTCATACACCAATAATTTTCCCTTTCTTTCATATATGTTGGAATTTTCTCATTGGTTCTTCTTTCTTTCACGTTGTCCTATGGATATTTCCCTCCTTTGTTCATTGTTTATTATTACTCTATATATAGCGTTACGTTGTTGTGTGAGAGAAATTTAAAAAAAATATAGATAGATAAATAAAAAATAAAGTATAGTTGGTTAAAGATCTCACACCACCTACTCATACCCACATCCCACACCCACACCCACACCCTATGGTGATGCGTTGTTTTTCCGTGAAATATAAAACGAAAAAAATTCTAACCCCAAGCTTGAACGAATGATCTTTTGGGCAAACGCATCCTTTTTGTTTAAATAAAGAAATATGGTTATAATGCTGTACCATCGTGCACGACATAGTGATAAAAATCTTTGAAGGGTTGCGTGCATTATATTGGTTGTTCCATGATTTGCAATCTTAAAGTAGCAAAACAAGACAAAAAGTAAAGCATACAATTTTTCTTTCTTACTTCATCGTAGCAACAAAGATCGACAATAAAAATAAATGCTTCTGGATGTTCAAAATAACGAAACCATTTATTGGAAAGATACATCTGTCCTAGCATATTATAGACATCAATGAGCCATATGGTGATTCCTGTGTATTAACAACGTTTCTACATTATTAACCGGCAATAATGAGTCATACCTGTGTCTATCTGGCATTTGATTTCGTTAATATATTTTGTCATTTTCTTGCTGACGTGTAGAATATCTTGTCTCGACAACAAGCAGCGATTGGTCAGAATTTCCATTAATCTCGTCAAATAGTAGTTATGATGACTGTCTAATTGATGATGGTGTTGATTGTACCAAAACTGAACTTCATTTTCTGTCCATAATCGTTTCAATGCATTGGCAATTTGTGAAGGCTGCTTACAAACTTTAGACAAGTTGGTTTGTCGTGATAAATTATCGAGAACTGGGAAAAAAATAAGAGTAACGTCATATGTGCTAACCTGATTACCGAATCATCTGAAATTTTTTATACGCTTTCTTTCTACTTGTTCTCGTTCACTTTTCATGATCAGTGCCTTATATAGAACTCCACTGTATCTTACTTTTTTATTAATCTAGCAGCTAAATTTCATGAATAACTTTAAGCCTTTCTCCATTATATCACTGCTCGTATATGAAATCTAGTACTACTGAACAAGAATAATTCTCGTAGTTTCTATATCCATCTATGATGCATGAGTTCAAAAATTCATTGAAAGAACATTAGCTATGTGACTTCGTTTAAGGGCCCCCCCCCCCCCTCAAAAATTGATCTCAGCCCAGGAACATCCAAACAGGCTGATATTTGGAGGATATGTTGGGCCTGGGATAGGACGCACGTGATAAAAGTTTCAGCCTTCTATCCTGATGTATAAGGTAGATACGAACCAAACAAGGGTCGAAAAATAGCTAATCGCATCTCNTATCTCCTCAGAAACAAGCCAGAAACCCGAACTTTTTTTTACCGTAAGCATAACTCACTACGGGCTACAAGATGCACGAAACCCCGATTGAAAAGCGCTCCCGCACCTTGGAAGGTTCCCTAGTTAGTTGAAAAATTTAGTTTTAATCATTTTTGAGTTCCTGAAAACTTACAAGTATAGTTCTCTATCGATAATGAAAAGAAAAGCTGATTGTAACATCGTTATACAACGGTAAACTATTAGTTAAACTACACTTGAAAAAATATATTCAGGTTTTTTTTTTTTTCGTGTTCATATTTATTGAAAAATCTATTTGACAAATCACTATTCTGATCTGTGAAAGTAACAAACCTGTTTTGGTAATTGTTTTTTCGTTGAATTATTAGCAATGTTTGGTGGTTCATATTGTGAAGCTTTTCTTGGTGGAACATGTTTCGGATAAATTATTGTTTTTGGTTGATCTAAATAGATTCATATTAAATATAATAATTTATTTCTTTAGAAAACTTGCGAAATGAATTTGAATTTGGTTTATTTCGTATTGATAATGTTTGTTGATAAGATGAATTTAGATTTTGTTGATGTGTTGAAGATTTTCGAAAAAAATTTCCATCAAAAAGTGAATCAAAATATGAACCACTTCTCATTTGAAATGATACTTCACGAGCTTTATTATCATTAGCTGTTGTTGATTTATTTATTATTGGTTGATTATCAATTTTTTTTGATATACTTGGTAATGCACGCGATGATTTAGCTTTTTCTTTTTCACGTTGTGCTTTCATTGTATGTAATTTATCTATTTTAATTGTCCAGTCTTGTTGACCAAGTTTTTCATCCATTGATGTTTCATCTTTTTTTTCATTTGATGATATTTGAGTATCAATAGATGATTGTTGTTTTTCATTTTCAATTGATGTTGAATTTGTTTGAATATTATTTTCTTGTTTTGTTAATGTTGATAGTGGTGATGGAATTGGTGTTTTATCTTTAGTTGATATTTCCGTAAGTGATGTTTTTTGTAGAATAGTTGCTGACAAATTAGGAAGTGAACGATAAGTAGATGTTGGTTTTTCATCATTTGTTTGAATTTTTGGTTGTACTGGATTCCACATTGTAGTCACATGTGGATTTCTATCAACATCATTATATAATCGATTATAATTTTGTTGATAATTAGGATATATATTCATTGATCCATTTAGATTATTATCATTAATTGAATGTGCTACACTTGATGCTGTAGTTGTATTTGATGCTGTGCCAAGACTTTCAGAATATTCTCTTATATTATTCAATGAATTATATGTATTTTGTGGTTGAACATCTCGACGCCAATCTGTTATTGATGATGTTCGATAACTTGTTGCTGGAAAATGTGAATATATTGATGAACGATAACTTGTTGGACCAAGATCTAATTGATTAAATGTTAAATCATCACTATGTAACCGACTACCATTTATATAAGGTATAGATGGTTCATAGAAAGTTCGGAATGATGAATTTTGAACAAGATCATCACTTACTAATGTAGATCGGTCATATGAAGGAGGATAAGCCGTTAGAAGATTTGTTGCGTAGCTCATGATGTCGCTTTTTTTTTTCTTTTACATCGAATAATGTTTGAAACAATTTATGAAATTTTTTTTCCTTTCTTGCTTTGCATGCGTTTGTATTGTCATCCAAAAATACAAATCCTTTTAATGTAAGATGTATGCTATACAGTTGAGAGTGTGAAATAAGCATGATGTAAAAAAAATACACAAGATTGAAAGTTAAATATTGCTATATGTGTAAAAAAAAAAACAATTCTTAATTGCACTATTCAAATTTCTTTTCACCTGAGTTTTTTTTTTTTTGAATCAAAACATGCATATTCTGTTTCGTTTCTGTTCACTATAATGACATATTTTATATTTTGTTTTCTATCATCGAATGTCTTGTCTACTGACTTTGTCTGATAATTGATGATCATATTACATTTAAATGCATATTGTGTCAACTTTTTTGCAAGTCCTATTCTATATATATATATGTATACATTTCTTAAAGTATATATACGTGATGATTAAGACGATGCCCATTGTACCATTAAATGACGAGACGGATACAGTGATCAAATAACTTCAATTGCTAAATGATGCCATCAGAGTACATCATTATGTGAGCATGTGTATCGAAATTTGAGAGCAAAAGAGAGAGAAAAGTTAAATTATAGACTAAATCTTATGTTCATTAATCTTGTTTTACATTCATTATCGAGAGTGTTGAATTGATGGATCATAAAAAAATGATCGTTATTTTTTTCTTGTTAACTCTGAAACATTTTGTTTATAGTGAAGGTAATAAAACAAATAATCAATATTTTTTAATATAATATAAAAAACAAAATAAATCAATTTCTATAGATATTTGTAATTCTATTAATTGTGGTTCTGGTACTTGTATAACAACAATAAATCCTACTTTACCATATTATTGTCAATGTTCAAATGGTTTTAATACAATTTTACCATGTCCATCTGAAAGTTTGTATCAATAGTATAATTTATTATGATTATGATTATTTGTTTTGATTAGATCCATGTTCACGAAATCCATGTGGTCAAGGAACGTGTGAAGTTGTACCAAAATTACTTTATGGTTATTTATGTCGATGTGCTGATGATATAATATCATTAACAAATTGTAACGGTATATTATTTTTGATGATTGTTTTGTGTTTGAAATATTTTATTCGAATCAAATAATATTTAGTTACTCGTAATATTTGTGCTTCGAATCCATGTGTTCATGGAATATGTATTGAAGGTTTAACAAGTTTTATTTGTCATTGTTTATCAACATGGACAGGAAGAATTTGTAATGGTTTGTATAATGAGTTTTCTTTTTGTAAATAAAATTCAAAAAATTTATTTCATATTTTTTCGTTTTTTCTCTTATTAATAGAAAAAATTGATTCATCTTGTTCAAATAATCCATGTGGTACAGGCAAATGTTTTCAAATTAATGATCCATCTCTTCCATATATATGTTTATGTTCAAGCGGACAATTTGCAATGTCTTGTCAGAGTAATATAATTGAACTTTTATTTTTATTCTTTTTTCTCTATTAAATATAAATTATTCAAATTTATCAGATATGATATATTCATCTACGGCCACAACTCGAATACTTACAACTATGACACATTTACCAAATGTATGCAATCCGTTGAAGTCTCAAAGTTGTATGAATGGTGGTCAATGTCTTCTGACAATAAATAGTTATCAATGTCATTGTAATTCAGGTTTTACTGGAAATTTTTGTGAGACGAGTAAGTTTTTCAAAATTTATTTATTAATATTTTTTTTTATTGTGTTTAATTATTCAAGAAATTGATCAATGTACATCGAATCCTTGTAAGTAAAGTAAACATTGATAATAAATTATAAATTGTATTCAATTAGGTCTTAATGGTGGTATCTGTTATGATCTACGATCATCTTATATATGTGCTTGTTCGGATGGTAGTTTTCGTTCACAATGTTTACCTAATGCAGGTAATTAATTCTAATATTTATCAAATTATTTATATTGAATCATTTATATACAATGATAAAATCTTTGTTCGATTATAATTAATATAAAATATAATCGAATGAATTTTATTTTTGAAAGAGAATATTTTTCAGTGAATTTTCTTGTTTCATCAAAATCGACAGTTCTAATGATTGTATTGAGATAGTAAATAAACTAAGTAGAAGAACTGTGATTTGAACAATATGAACAGTCATTTTGACAATAGCTTAAAGTTTAAATATAAACATCAGCTTATATAATAATCATATCATATTAGTTTTTTTTTTGTAAAATAATTCTCTATAATCTTTTTCATTTAATTATCAAAAGTTTTAATAAAACCTTATATTAACGTTTATTATGTTCTATTTAATATGATATTTTGTTTTTTAGTCTCATCAAAGATAAATAATAATTTTAAATGTCCATGTCAAAATAATGGTGAATGTACAATGATAGATTCACAACCATGTACATGCCCAAATAGATTTACTGGTCGTTTTTGTGAAAGCGCATTATGTAAGAATATTGTTTATTATTTAGATATGCATCACTCGAACAAAGGCAACCGTTTCGTTATCATACTCAATGTTGAAATGTATTGATAGGATTTATTTTTAAAAAGAATATACATCAAAAGCTGAAAGTTAAGATAAAGAATTTGTTGACAGTAGGGAAAAAATTCTCCATTTACTGTTAGACGCAACTGCATCAATTTCTAAAACTTACGAGGGAACTACCCCAAGTGATGCACCGCTTTTGAGCTCATACTTTGGGGATAAGTAGGAGACCCCGACACTAGAATAACCCTAAGAGGATTTGGGCCCATGCACCTGTGGGGCTGAGTTATAACCGTTTTACTCGATTTTTGCCCTAGGGCACTGGTTCACCTGCAAAACCAAATCAACGAATTTCGATCTGAAATTTTGTCCACGAAGAGGCCTAATGGCCACTAGAATACCCTGAAAGTTTNCCCACCCACACCCACACCCATACCCCCACCCACACCCACACCCACACCCACACCCCTACCCACACCCACACCCATACCCACACCCACACCCACACCCACACCCCACACCCACACCCCAGTTATAACAACGCGCACTTTTTAGTTGAATCGATTCAATTTCTTGCTGGATATAACACAATAATTTTCTGAAAACATTTCAATAACTTCTCTTTTAGGTAAGCTCTTAGGGTGTGATTAAGAAAGAATAGATCGATCATGAGAATCAATGAGCTTATTGGAACACCTAAGGTTAGAATCCTGTATACTAACACATCAACATGAAAATCTGAGTCGATAGCTAAGAGAAAATGAATGGGACGCAGTCCAACAAGAAATACACTGAATATGAAGATCGTGTGCCGTAGAAATACGTGTCACGACGGCTAATCTGTAGTTGGTTGATGTTGATATCATTATTTGGATGAGTAGTAGATGCAGGTTGTACGCGACGAGATGACCAGTGAGCATATTTCAGAAAAATCATGTTTATGACGAGAAAGAGAAGTATTGGAATCAACAGAACCATAATGAGTCCGTAAATGAGTAGCCAGAGAGGTACTGTACAAAGCTACAAGTATATATAAAAGTAGCATTCTTTTACATCACTATTACGCACTTGATATTTGTCGAATGGCCAGATTTCAAGGAGAACAACTAAGAAGTATTGATCTTTTTCTACTATCTTTTAGAAAAAATTGATATTTGACTCTTTTATGACATTCGCACTAAAGTATAGTCGAGCTCAACATAATTTTATTTGAAGAAAAAAAAACAGATTCATTAATTCATGAGTATATCTTTTCTATAGAAAAACAACTGAACGTATTCAATAATGTGCCTTTTGAAACCATTGAAATTCTATTCGTGCAGCCTAAAAGATAAGAACACGAACTATTTCAACCGGATACATGTAGTCCAAGTACTAACATAAAGGTATACATAAACGATATTGATAAATATTCTTACCGGTAGACTTTGTGCACTAGGTATTGAAATAAGAAAACCGGCCGTCCATTGAATTGCAACAGTGATTGCCATCCATCGAGTTGTCTTCAAGAAGAATTTCATTGGAAACACTATCAAGCAAAATCGATTGATGGTAACAAGTATGATAGCATATACCGCTTGACATTTGTTCATCATTCCCACGTATAAAACTAAAGCACATGTCTTTTGAACGAATAATAGTTCATCGACAGAGATAAACATGGTAAAATAGACGAAAAAATAGATATTAGTGAACATTATGGCAATTGCGATGTTTAGTGTGAAAAGATTCGTAGGTTTTCGAAAACGAGAAATTAGTATTATTGGAATACAATAAACAACAGCACCAAAAATGGTAAGCATGTGAAGACAAACATCAATAATAATCATAATGAACGAAACATCTACCATCGTCAATACATGCGACAATACCTCAACATAAAATACGTAAGAAAAGAATTTATTGAAATGCTTATGAAGATCGACTCAAAGAGCGGATGAGACAATAGAGAAAAAAAATGCGTTCGTTTTCTTTTCCCTAGAATCAGAACAAAACCAGTTTGAATTAAGATAAATCCAAATGAATGGAAATAGACATAACTGCATATCTTTTGAGGGGTATCCAGTAACTGAGAAAAACGTATTCTCAAACTGTCAAAGAACTCAACAGAATCTTATAGTCTTCTAAGGAACCGATCTTCCATTCTTTTATAGTTCCATGAGATTCTTCGAACTAAAAAAAATGTGCGTTATTAACAATATTTCTCTTACTCACACCGACAGTCATATGGAAGAATGAATGGGTGTGAGAATGTAAACTATATTTCAGACTGCATTATTGTTGCATCGGGAAATCTTCAAACTGTTAGTGTCAACAATTATTAGATGATGATAATTCCTCGCTTTTGCGCTCATGTTTTCTCTGTCTCGTTGATTATTTACCGTTCTCATCAATAATAGCCTCCTGTTTTTTTTTCTTTTCCACTACGAATGATAAATTAGTTTCTCATTCCGTGTGTCTAATTGGCGAATGTAAAAAGATGAAGTAAAAGAAATAGTATGGTAGAGTTGTATCAGTACATATTGAGCTAGTATTGATATCTTTTAAATAAACTCAAGTTATTCATTGGTTGTTTCTTCCTCAATTTTGAATAGATCAATCAAAACTATATAAAATTAATTTTTCTTGTCTCATAATATCTAATTGGTCGAAAGAATATTATAAAAATCAAAGACCAAATCCATTCAATTATGTAAATTCTTCATTCCAAGATTGTTATAGTCTACAAAAGCTTATTTCACTTGGATATGTATTTCGAGATAAATGGGCACAACTAACTGATCAAGAATTAAATTGGAATAAATAGGATGGGAATGAACGTTATACATTATGTTTTTTTTGCGGTAGAGCAATTATGTAAAGATCATGAATACGATTTAGGACGAACTAAAATGGATTATAATGAAACAAGAAAAAAATCGAAGAAATTCTGGGGATGATATGGACGAACAGACCATGTTAATTAACGATAGGCAACGATTTAAAGGTGCTTCTTGTACATTAACATCATGAAAAATGATTATTCAACCATTTGAACTTACAACTGAAAATCCAGCTTTAAAATATCCTGAGTGTTATGTCAGGAGAGACATCTCCTGACATAAGAGGGCTCTCTCTATAATATCACTGCTCTCGTTAATGGCATTCCTTCTCGTCGCTCCATGATATCTCTTTGTTCTGAAAATAAACAAGGAGGTATATCATGGAAGAAGAGAGAAAGAGAGATAGACAACATTCTTTGCTGCTTTTTTGTTTCTGATTCATTCGCTTGTTTTGTTTTAAAAAGAAATAAATAAGAATAATAAAGAAAACGGGGGAAAGGACCTAACACGCTCGATATTCNTAAATATAAAATCAATTTTTCTTTCTGCTTCAAACGTTGATACATTCGAATACAATGAAATACTTCTGTTGAGAGTTCGATAATTTAAACTTAGATTTATTCTTATTACGACATTGAGAGTTGCAAATATTAACGATAATATTCAATATCTCGCAAAAACTTCAGTTATGTCTGCACTAGCTATATAGATGAAAAAGGAAAAAATGTGTTTTGAGCACTGAAAAAGGAGTGAAATGAGCACCAAATTGATGAAGTGTGTTGTGAGCACCAAAAAAGAAGTGAAAGGAGCACCAAACTTCTCGACATGTGAAATGAGCACCGAAAAAACATACAAATGAGCACCAAATTGAAAAATGATATAAAGATGATCAAATAATTACATCTTAAATCAATTGAGATTGTGATATGCATGCATATAGCCAATGAATTGTGATGAGTTCAATTCATATTAATTAATAGAATGATTGTTATCGATAATAAGATCAGATCAGTAATGTTATCTATATATGTCTATACGAAATAATAATCCTAAAATAGAAAAATTTCTCAAAAATAGTACAAACATGTCAAGAGAAGAATATAAGTTTTTGAATATTGCTAAAACGCTCGAAGAAGCTAATGCTTTAGTACAACAGCTTGATGTGTCAAAATATCGTACATCAGGTTTACGTGATGGTACAAAATACTCATATAGATGCCGTTTTTATCGGAAGTATCCATTATGCCGATATGAAGTACAAATTTATATTCCAGACAATGAATTTGATATGATTAAATTAATGTACAAAAACGCACATTGCCACGAACAGCGCAATGTTACAGGTCGTTTACCTTCTCCTGTTCGAGAATCAGTTAATAAATATGTAACATGTCAACTCACACAAGGTCAAATTAAAAATGCGTTATCTATTGATTATCCTAATATTCCATTACCAATTAATCAATTGACAAGTTTAATAAATTATACCCGAAGACGAAATAATCCTGAAATATTCTCAGTATATGATTTTAATCAATGGTGCATGAATCATAACTATGATGATAATTTATTATATTCAACATTTGTACCTTATTATTCGATTAAAAATATTGATGATATTTTTGTATTCTTTACTACAAAACAATTAATTCAACAAATACAATGTACAACTTTATTGCAAGTGGATGCCACATATAAACTTACGTGGAACAACTTACCTTTATTAGTATTTGGTTCATCTGATGCTGATCGTCATTTTTGTCCGTTTGGAATCGCCTTGGTGTCCAGCGACGAACATTCAAGTTGTTTTAAAGAATTATTTATTCAACTTCAAAATATATCAGCTAAATATTTTAATCGTCAATATACTGTTAATTATATTATGGCTGATGGTGCACCAGGTCTTAATCTAAAGCATATTTGTTATTAATTATTATAATTTACATTTAGGTATTACCAAAGCTCAACAAGAAGTGTTTCCACAAGCTAAACGTCTCATGTGCTGGGCACACACTGTCAGAAAAATCCGTGAACATAGGAAACTAGTACCAACAGATAAGTGGAATGAAGTAGATAGTGATATCCATAACTTACAATTATGTTTTTCAGATAATATATTTAATTGTGCTGTATCATTATTAAATTTGAAATGGAATAATTATCCATTAATGAAACAATTTCAAGAATATTTTTTCAATGAATGGATTAAGAAACTACCTCTGTGGTAAGCAATTTTTTTATATTAATTTATTGATAGATTCACATGATTTATCATTTCAGGTATGAAGGTGCTGCATGTCATATACCTTCTACAAATAACGGATGCGAGTCTTTAAATGGGAAAATCAAGCAACAATATACATTAAGAAACAAACTTCATCTATCATCATTTTTACCAAAAATTGAACAAATGTTGCATGCTTGGCCCATCAAATCATCCTCGAATGGTTTTATTGCCAAGCCGTCCATATCAACTGAATTAGAATTAACAGCATTTAAATGGTCAAACACAATTAACCAAATTGATATTTTACATTGGTTTGGTAATTGGTATATAGTCCCATCATCAAATCCAACAATAACACCAGCAATGTGGCTTCAAATATATCAAATGCAGCAATGGCAGACATTTAATGACTTTATCATTTGGTTAAAATCATGTTATTTAGTTTCACCACTTCATTCATGTACTTGCCCAAAGGGTATGAAATTATATATATGTAAACATTCATTTGGTTCAGCGATGATATTTAACATGCATGAAGTTAAAGACAAAACACGTTCGGAACTTCTAGGTCAACGACGAGGTAAAGGTAGATCAAAAAAAGTTAAATCTGCTCTAGAATTTTGAATGTATTGTTTCATCATGTAATTATACTTATTTATTTCTTACTCATTATATTTATTGTTTAACTGTCATGTTAAATTCTTCCAAAATAAACTTTTTTTGTTATTACTTCACATACAATCAATTTGGTGCTCATTTGTATGTTTTTTCGGTGCTCATTTTACACATAGAGAAAATCAGTGCTCATTTGTATGTTTTTTCGGTGCTCATTTCACATGTCGATAAGTTTGGTGCTCATTTCACTTCTTTTCTGGTGCTCAAAACACACTTCATCAATTTGGTGCTCATTTCACTCCTTTTTCGGTGCTCAAAACACTCCTCGTCCGGGAATTCGAATCAGTCAATCAAAAAGAGATTCGAAGATATTAACGTAAATCATCGTAGAAAATCATCAATCATCTGCATCATCAGTGCTATAAGTACTATAATTATCATCATCGTGATCATCAAGTTCTTTAATTTTTTTTCTACATAAATGTCTGCCCTTTTAAATGTTGTCTTATATTGTTTGGCATAATTGATGTAGCTGGTTGCTTCCGTGGCATTCAAACCATATATCTTCGACATTATTCTATTTGTTCTAAAGTAACATTTTAAAAATCAATTTGTAGATAAATATGTATCGATAACCCGCTCCTATCATGAAATTTCACTGCAATTCTCTAAAGTTGTATTCTCTACACTTGCTCTCTTGAAAGAAAAGAAACTGAATTTTGTTGTGGACTATAAAAAAGATGCAATAATTTCGACTCTAGAAAGCGTTGAAGACTCAAATCATTTTTCTCTTTTTGTTTTAAAGTTATTCAAAAAATGTCCACGTCCATTTAACTCTGATATGGACATTAGTTGACTACTCATTGATTGAGTACTAAATAATTCAGTACTAATTAATTAATGATTACCAACCCAGATAATATATAATGCTAGCAACCTATGTTCACATTTAAAAGGATGTGTCTCTGCTAAATCGTAAAAAGGTGTGGGTGTGGGCGAAGGAAGGAGGAACACCTACACTTTCACCCGCACTCATCCCATCGCGTTACTACTAGAACAACTTTAGTATAAATATGGAACTTGAAAACTTTTCTATTTTCGTCATTGGGTGACAGAGTCGATACTGTCGAGTCCATATTTGGATACTGCTGAAGTGCGATTTGAAGAGCATTGAGGGATTGTTGACTTTTTCTGCCAAGGCAAACGGCGCCACAGGTTATTTGCGTTCTTTCTCATTCCATTCGAATATGTTTTTAATATTTTACATAAAGAAAAGAAATGCATTTCTATTGAAAAGTTTCTTGCCGAGCGTGCACATCATCAGCCAACAGAGGGAAAGCAGTAATGCAATGGGAAAGAAAACAAGAAATGGTAAAAAATTGGTTAAAAAAAAGAGTAGCTGCCTTCAACAACTGTAAGAGAACGTGAAATATAACACTTTGTTTTTTTTACCAATAGCAACATCTACCACACATGATTGTAAAAAGTTGGCTGTTTTTTATGGCAGTATTCAACTCGGCACGGTAGAAAATCCTTGGCGTAAACGAAACGGAAAACGAGTAAGCAATTTGTATAGCTAAATGCCCATGAACTCCGGAATTCAAGTATGGGTGTTGATTTGAGGTGAGTGTGATCCTACCCAAGCAGACAAACTTTTGAGAAAACGCATTTAAACGCACAAAAATTGGCCTAAAATCAACAAAAAGTGGACGTTTTTGGCTCACATTTGAGGTTCCCGACTGTTAGCCAAAAGCGCCCATTTTTCGTCCTTTTTATGCGTTTAAACGCATTTTCTGACAATAAACGCATTTACACGCATACAAAAGAAAGAAAAAAGTTGTTCTGCTTTTCCAGCTCGAGAAACGTGACTATAATCATGATCGAGCATCTGGAGTATAAAAAACGACCACTTTTTCTCTTTTATGTAAACGTGTAAATGCGTTTTTTGTCAGAAAATGCGTTTAAACGCATAAAAAGGACGCAAAATGGGCGTTTTTAGCTCACACTTGAGGTTTCCGACTGTGAGCCAAAAACGTCTACTTTTTGTTGATTTTAGGCCATTTTTTGTGCGTTTAAACGCGTTTTCTCGAAAGTTTGTCTGCCTGAGTAGATTTGCGTACTCAAACCTATACCCACACCCATTGTACATCAAAACATGTAGCTATCATCATCAATAAAGTCAAGTTGTTCACAGCACAATCAAGGACTACATGATTAATTCTATCGGGACACACTTTGATATAGTTTATGCGTTAGTTTGAAGAGAAAGACGTCGAGTTTGTTGAGGAGATCAACTTCATCACTTATCGATTCTCTTCTTTTCACTTTTTAGATAACACATAAACATATATACTATTATAATGTCGACTTTGAACGATATCAATGTCGATCACGATACTGATGATGGGCATGATATTGATAATAGTCAAAGCGTGGAAACTACAGAGTATGTGGACTCGTTGTTTCCGGATTTGACAGAGTTGCTCAAGTTAGGTTACCGATCACAGAGTACTGAACGAGCAACAGCAGAATCATCAATTACATGCAAACAAATTCATGACAAACTTACCAAAATGAAACAAGAAACCATGTTTGATGATTCCAAGCTGAATACTGGAACGCATCAAGAAATGTGGCATCGTTTGCTTGAACTATGGTTCGAGCTATCAAAGGAAATCATCCATATTGATCCGATGGATCGAAGTCCAATTGCCCTATCTCTGGACATAATTCTGTTTTTAATCGTTGAACTTACACCTAGTGGTTCTTGTCAAAAACTCAATGATGAATTAACTAAAAAGAAATTTGTAATCTGTTTGGATATCCTTGATTTGCCTCATATTAATGATTTTCTCCAACAAAATAATGATATATCTGATGCGATTATATATTCTTTCAATATTCGTATCGTTTTGCATGAAATGGCCTATGGCATTCCATCGAATATCGTCAGCATACTTCAAGACCGAGCCGCTTCATTCATATTATTAAAGAATTATGTTGATCAAAGAATGAAATCGACAAAGGTGGCTGAGAGATGCACCATTAATTGCATTCTCTCATTGTTTTGGAATATATGCGATCAAACCCTCACTGTACCAAAAATGATTGAGATCGATCTACCGAAATGTGTCACACGTTGGCTGTCAGAATTAAACGAGGGTGCTGCAAACAATGAGTTTCAGAAATCTATCAACATTATATATAACTTGGCGCGACATGACGACGGTGCCGATGAGCTCAACAAACATGGAACAATTGAAATACTGAAACAGTGTCAATGCAGGTATATAGGCTCGCTTTGAAAAGTCTTTTAATAAAATCTCTGTTAGATTAAAGTGAGAGATATAGCCAAACTAATTCTACTCTACACGAGAAACTTTCTACAAGATCTCTTTCAACTTGTCGGACACCGTTTTCTGCTACTGTCATTGTCTCCATGAAACTATCTGCAATCACTTGATACTCTAAGGCTACAAATGCTAACATCTTTTAGTTGCAATCGGGCTCAACACTAGTGATACAACCAATATAAAAATGAATGCAAATTAACGCGATTAGCTTTATTACGACAGATCTTTATTATTAGTTTGAAAGACACAGGACTTTCTAATCGTGACGTTCCAAGAGTTTTGCCAAATGAATCTTCCTCAAATGTTGTCATCATCCAAAAGATAGATCCGAAATCGCTAATCTTCCACCAATTCACATTTTTTTTATATGGAGTCTATGAATCAGTTCGAGCCAGTTCAAACTATACTATTTTAGTGTATGTAATTTTTTAACTGACGACATCAGGGTATATCAGTCGATTGACAGCATGTTGATGCTCGCGATCACGTTTCACTGAAGCCTGCATACATTCAAAATATTAACTAGAATTATAAGATATAAAACCAGTTGAAGGGATGTGGACGAGTGACAATTACTTTTGAACAGAAATGTGTTTCGACACTCATTAATGATCATGTTTCATTAAGTCCATATCAAACTTAAGAGAAGCTTAACATACACATACAAATTATAGTTAAATAGCAGTTTGAGAATGCGAATATTTTAAAGGTGACTCGAGTTTTTTACTAGTAACTATTATTGCATAGGGACTGGCTAATGAACAATGAGCATTTACATCTTGATTTGTCAATGGCTTTGGCACTTCTCTTCTCACCTGAACAACTTAAGAATAATAACGAAGATATAAACGATGTCCTTGACCAGCTTCTTCAACATGCCATCGACGCTGCGAATAACCAGCGTTTTCGTGACACGACTGGGTTTCACGTTAGTGAACCTTTGGCTGTCATGGTCAAATTATTTGTTGTGGATGAGCGAACGCTCGACTACATCCTCTGTAATGCAAAAACTGACCCTCCATCAGACATATCATCAACCATTAGTCAATTAAGTTGGCTTCTCGTTGTTTTTTACAATGCACGAGAAAAAAACGATCAACTTACACAAATCACGTTGATCGCGATAATGAACATTCTGTGGAGTATTTCATTCCAAGCTCAATATAGACCCTATTTGAGCAATGATAATAAATTAGCTATGTTTATCATTACGGATTTAGCCAAAGGTGATTATGAAGAAAGCACTCATTGGTACAAACCACGTTCAATGGAAAGTATACGAAACGCTGCTCGTGGTATTCTTGATAATCTTGGTAAAACAACTGATGGTATTGATAGAGAAATAGATGATAGTTCGAATCGAATTAGCACGGCTAAAACTGATGCGAAGTAAGTCTAACTGTATATTGTCATATTTTTCAATTACGTAGAAGAATTATTGTATATGTGTCTGTTTTTCTTTGCGAACAGTCCTATCGTAAAGTCATCTATCATGATCAGTTATTGTCATGAAAATAAAGAATTCTGTGGCAAATTGCTCGAACTATTGTCAACTTATTCCGATAAATTCGATGTGTGGATTGATCAAAACCATTGTCAATCAGCCAGTGATCTATGGGAATCGATTGCTATTGGAATGGAAGAAGCTCAAATTATTGTCTGTCTTGTCTCTAATCATTATTTTCAGAGTAAATCATGTCGTCGAGAGTTGACCTATGCTGTAGAAACACTAAAGAAACCTGTCGTACCTGTACTGCTGGAAAGTATTGAACCTAAAGGATGGTTGGGTAAGTAGCAAAGTCATTTGTACATATTTCCTGTTTTGAAAAACGATTAAGTTCGAAGACAACTGATATGATTTCTGTTGAATTATATAGGTATTCGAATTTCGGGTGTGAAGTATGTACGTTTCAAAGATATCAAACAGCTAAATCAAACTAAAACGGACGACTTATTAAATACTATTCTTGAATCACTTAAAAGTTCACAAAACTTAGCTGAAAATCCACCTGTTATTCGACCAATTTTCAAGAAAATGCTAGCAGATGAGCCAGCGCCAATAAGTCGCAAGAATTCTATTGGCAATACAACACTATTACCATTGGACAAATGGTCATCGGCAACCATCGACGACATCAAACAATGGTTTTCTCATCATCACATTTCAGTTAAACTTCAAGATCTGTACAATTTTCAGACGGGCCAAGAAATGCTTCAATATGCTCAAATGCTGATCAGTAATTACGAGAAACACATGGAAATTTATTCGAGAGCATTTTCGAAGAAATACAACGATGATGAACTGCTTCCGCATGAATTCAATCGCTTCGTTCAAGCTATGGCACAGCTACTCAAAAATAATACTCTCTCTTCGACCACTACTTCTGATGCTACATCGATACAGCGCGGACAAGGATGGACGAGTACCCAGTATTACTGGCACGCAACACCTGGTTCTTTTACTCGATATACGTACGTACACTCATCGTCTGGCAGTCCGTACTCTTACACGTACTCGAAAATCCAGTATTGAAACTTTTGAAAACTTTATCAGTGTTGTAATAGCAATTCATCTTAGATTCAGTGGAAATAACATTGGCATGAGACATTGTTTATTAAGTTCAGTTTCTTTACCAAATGGTTCAAAGCAAATATCTTTCTTTTTCAAAGTTACCGCTTGTTAAATGTGTCGCCTCTCAAACACGCTATATTTACCATTCCAATAATGAGTTCAATAAAAAAATTCTTTTTAGTCAAGTACATGAATACAAAAAAAAAATAAATGATTTGTTAGCAAGAGAGTATCGTAAGAACTTCACCAACTTTCTCACTGATGCGTAAGTATTTGTAGTTACCGAACTATGTACTGATGTAAGCATCTCAAGAGCTGGTGCACGTCATAGTTAAACAATCATGATTATGCTTGCCATGTAACTACTAGATCTCGTATTCGATTTGGATATGGGTGTGGATGGTTGTGGTGTGAAGAGTATGGTGCTTGTTGAGAGAAAAATTATAACCACATTCACACCTACCCCATCCCAATAAAAACTATTACAACACAAGGAAAAATAATTGGAAGTAAACAATGCCATTTTCTTGAATACCGTCTGAAAATTCTTGACTATCACATAGACCTTATTTGTGTCAGAAGTTTCGACCATAGTTGTAAGTAGTACCATTTTTTTGTGATTTTTTTTACTATTTGATAGATGGTATACATCTGTATTGGGACAGGGATGTGCAGTTTCGGTGAAAACAGTGAATTACTGACAACGTGCCACTGACGCTGGCGTTCACTGAATCAGTACATATACTGACACTGGCGTTCACTGAATCAGTACATACACTGACACTGGCGTTCACTGAATCAGTACATACACTGACACTGGTGTTCACTGAATCAGTATATACACTGACACTGGCGTTCACTGAATCAGTACATATACTGACACTGGCATTCACTGAATCAGTGCATACACTGACATGGTGTTCACTGAGGGTGTGGGTGTGGATGTGGGTGGGTGTGGGTGTGGGGGTGTGAGTGTGGGTGTGGGTGTGGAGTGTGGCATTCGACGAGGAGACTAGTAATACGCATCTACTACACAGACCCACACCCACCCACACCCACACCCACACCCACACCCGCACCCGCACCCACACCCACATCCACACCCACACCCTCAGTGAACACCAGTGTCAGTGTATGTACTGATTCAGTGAACACCAGTGTCAGTGTATGTACTGATTCAGTGAACGCCAGTGTCAGTATATGTACTGATTCAGTGAACGCCAGTGTCAGTGTATGTACTGATTCGGTGAACGCCAGTGTCAGTGTATGTACTGATTCAGTGAACGCCAGTGTCAGTGGCACGTTGTCAGTAATTCACTGTTTTCACCGAAACTGCACATCCCTAGGTGTAGGTGGGTGTGGGTGTGGGTATGGCTCGCTGTGGGTGGGGTATGGGATGTGTCGGTGTGGGGGTTGGTGTCGGTGTGAATCTGGGTGTGCATGAAGAGAAGAACTAGACCCACACCCGCGCCCACACTCACACCTACACCCACACCCTTCTCCATGTAAAAATAGTTAAACATTTAACGATGTTAAGGAAAAAAGATGTTACAAATTTGACCATGAAAACGCGTTAAAAAATTGTTTTTAACTAAGTTTCATGAATTTGTTTGGCGTTTAACGGCTTTTAATGACAAAATATATATTGAATTTCGTTAAAAAAAAATTTTTAACTCGTTGTCATGGTAAAAATTGCAACATTTTTTCTGTTAAAATCGTTAAATTTTTAAATATTTTTACATGGGTCATGAGTTAGAAACTTTTGCGTTTTTTTTTGGAAAATCGCTGTGAGTTGTTCTATCAATTTTTCTGGGTTTCATACAATTGAATAGTACAAGCTTTTACTTATCATTTCTAACTGATTTTGAACGAAAGCTTGCTGGATGAAGAATTCATATCTTATGCATTGAATTTGCGAATAAAACTTTGCAACCCAGAAATAGCCACTTTCCCATATGATGTCTTATAGGAGTTTCCTGGAAAATCAAGGACTTGTCAGAAACCGAACACGTTTCCGGAAACTCTAAATGACTTTCCGAAAACGAAACATGAATTTCCGGAAAGAAAACATGCATTTTCGGTAACCCAATCGATTTCCGGTTTGCGAAAATGAATTTCCGCATATTGAAACTCACACTGCTTTATAAGTAACATCGAAGACAATGCCGACATCGTTCTAGTTTAGATGAAGTCAATCATTATGTTAAAGCGAAATTAAACTTTAGTAAACAAGAATTAGTATTGGATTAATGAGACAAATGATCATTGAACTATTCACAACTTAATGTGTGGAGAAAAAAGCTTATAGAAGTTTCACAAAGTTTATTGACAAGTAAACATACTATCAGCGCAAATAAGAAATTTTGAAAAGAGAGAAAATAGAATTGATCGACCACCTTGTTTATGACACTCAATTCTTATGAAAATTTTAAAATATCCAATGATTTTGTATTGAAAATCAATAAAATATCCTAAAATATACAGAAAATTTGATGTTTACATCAGCCAAAATCTGGAAATTTTAGGATAGGGCAAGAGTATGAAAATCTATTGATAGAAAATCTATGAAGCACAATCAATTCCATGAAACTAACAATAATCAGTGAGAAACGATGAATCAATCTATTCAAAATTTGATATCACTTATTCTATGCTCACCGTGCATGGAATAGTTTTATATTATGTTTGGAGAAAACCATAATTCTGATAATGAACTTTATTTTAGGATGGATTCGCGTTTTGTGAAAGCAACGACGTTAGCTTTTTTTTCTGAAGACTAATAGAGAGATACTTGTACGCGAACTTTTATGAGTCATTATTCTTCAAAACTGAGAACCGTTTATTAAAATTCATGCATATAGTTTTTATATAATCGTGCATTGAACAAATATATCTCAAACGATCGATATTTATGCATAAGATAATATTAATCAAGATAAAATACATTGATACATACGAATAACACGATATAAACAAAATCCCAAATCAAGTCTTGTCACATTTCGAAGTTGAATATCGGTCACTTTACGCTGTCCTATTTTGAATGGTATTTTTAATGAATCCATCACATCAGACCGATCAACATCTCTATAACATTCTATATAATAAAAACAAAAAAACAATGAATTTATTTTCTCATAAAGAAATACAAGTTTTTCTTAAATCTATTGGTGAATTTTATTGAATATAAAATAAATATTTTTTATTGGGATTATTTTGTAGGATGTGATAATTCTCTTTGCTGAGCACACATCCATACTCTTCATTTTTTTATGAAACACAATCTTAAAGAACTGCTGAAATGTAGGAACAAAAATTATGAATCCTTTTTCACAGACGCCTTACCAACACTCTCCTTCCCGTCACTACGCTACAAACTGTATATCTATTAGGTCTCATTACGATAATGGGTGGGCCAGAATTAATTGCACTAAATGGTTTTATTTTTTTTTCGTTCATCTCCTTTTACTGAAAAATATTCATCGATACATTAAAAGATACAAAACCGTCGACTATGTTTTTTTCAAATTAGCCTTCCTTTTTGGCGTCTAATAAAAAATATGCAGACCTATTCAATCATTTAACTGCGATTTGTGATTTTCGACTGACATTTAAAGATTTGTAAAAGCTTTTGCTCATGAAAGTCAAGGGTTAAAGTAAATTATTTAACATCAACAGAAAGGAATTTCGTACTCTACTCTTACATGATTTTTTTCAATGTTTGCAGTGCTGTTGCTGAAAAGAAAACGACTCGAGCTGATATTAGTCGTTATATTGAGGTACACTTTAGAAAATCATGTTGTCAAAAGCCAGATTTGATCCATCAAAGATATATTATTATGTTATCGGATGTAGAATTCAATTTTGAACAAATTCGTGTAATTATGACAGTGAACAGTGACAAATGTAGACTTTTTCAAGCATAAAAAAGAAACGATGACCTAGATTTATCAGAAAACATCTTTTTTTCTGTTTTCGCATGTTTTCCTTAGCAACTGTTTCTCACAAATATTTTCTCTGAAATATGCCACGAAATGTGTAGAATTTTACGGAGAATCTTGTGGACTATTTTATATTTGAACTTATTCATTAGTTAAAAATTTCATCAATTTTTTTGTATCGTCACAGTTGGATGATTAAGCAGATGTGAATCTTTTTAAATAGATGTTCACAAAACTTATTCGGAAAACAAAGTCGACAGTTTTGCAGAACTTCAAATTCTCTATCTTTTAAAGTATCGATGAATATTTTTTCGCAAAAGCCGATGAACGAAAAAAAACAAACATATCTAGTGTAATTTATTCTGGAGCGTGCATTATATGAATTATTTGCTTATTGAATTTTGTGCTGAGATCAAGTAAAGAGATTGTTAAAAGATGTCGCTCGTAACGGATAGAATAAAAATTGTCTCCTTGTAATTACAAACAGGAACTATATTTTGTTTCATAAAGGGTGTTCCAGAAGTTCTGTAACGATTTGTATAATAAATTTTTCTTTAGTAAATCGCGCGGTTGAAAATTTGACTCTATAAAGAAAAGATGCAGTAAAAGACGCTCTACAAAATGGCTTTTGATTGACCCCGC